ATTTTTCTAAATAAATTAACACAAATTTAAAAAGTTATTGTATATCATTGTATATCTAAAATATAATTTGTATTTTCAAAAATATTTATTTATCATAAATTTTAATATCATAAAATATGAAAACTTATCTTATATATTGTAATGCTAAAATAATAGTTTTGTTTCTTGTATTCATTAAATATATCATCCTTAATTTTATACTTTATTTTGGCTTTAGTAAGAACGAAATCTACCACACAATTCAAATTATAAAAGAATCAAAAGCACTGTTTTAAATTATCAGAATTATAAAACCAAAATTAACTACACCATACTCAAAACCCTAAATTTATTTTAATACCTGTTCACAATTTTGTTAAGCTTGGGTATAATTAATTGTTCAATATTCAGTAACTATCATTTATTAGCAAGTAGCACTTGTTCTTGATGGGGATATATTAGGAATAATCGTATACGATATAGTTATAAAAGTCTTCTATGGCACAGTACACGAGGATTTGTTAAATTGAACGACAAACAAGGGAAGGGATGCCATGAATTCAGGTTTTATGTGGTTTCTAATCACAATCAAATTAATAAATTGCTGCTCAAACTTAGGTATTCAACCCTAAGCAAGTTGCTCAAGTCAATATTTTATAAATTTATTTATTATTTATATAAAACGTGTGTGAATAATATATAGGATTGTTTATAGAACATGTGTGAAAAAAAAAGCAGCGTTAATAACAATATTTTTTATTTAATTATTTACTTTAAATTGTGTGTATTTATTAAATTTATTTAATTTGTGGTGTACAGTAAAAAAAAGTTACATAATTTGTTTTAAATTGTATTTTTATTAAATTTTAAAAACGCATTAGTTAAATTCCATCTCTTAAAATACAAAATTAATATATAGGTACGCATAAGGCAGTATATAATATAATAGGATAATTTTCACATTTTAATATAATTAATTGTTTGATTAACGATAATATATAATTAATTTATCCTATAGTAGTTACTACTATTTTTTTTCATCACCCTATTTCTATTATTATAATTAATACTCGTATTGTCCTCACTATACATTTTTTTTAATATTTTTATATACATTTTCTCATTATTATTACTTTTATCTTAATAATCATAATAACTTTCAGTGTTATTGTCAAAAGTTTTCTATCATTTTCACTATTATGGATATTATTATTTTTATCATCAATACTATTATTTTTTTTTTAACACCAAAACTTATGAGATCAAATTAACAATTATCCTATATTTTACCTTATTTTATATATTTTTTATATATCATATTCTAACCACCAAATACATTCAAGTAAGAGTTTTGAAATATATAGCACTTGCTTTTGTAAGAGTTTTGAAATATGTTATTATATAATGTAGGTTTCAAAAACTTTAAAGATTAGAAAAATATTACATCAAGTAATATTTCTTCATTAATATATTATTTGTAACTAGATTGTTATTATTATTAAAACTTTAATTCCGATTTCAATAATTATAAAAAAATATATTTAAAATTGTATTATTATTTATGTTTTTGTTATTATTATTGAAGATTTTATTATATAAGAAATTATTGTTGGTGGTTATTGCCATTTATTAAAAAATAATTATGAAGGGTGAAAGAGATGTCACATCATATCCAATCAATCTTCTTTATTATTGAAAATCCTTCTACTTTTACCATTGATTAAATTAACTATTTCTCTGCGTATTTTTGTCTTCGTTTTATAAAAATAAAACATATGATTTGACAGAAAATGAATAAACACGGAAACTACATCCTAATCAACCACACATAAATCATTACTTAAAATAAAAACCATGGATCATTGAATACGTAAGTCAACTCTTCTGTAACACTAACTAACAAATAGAACATGACATCCAGTTGTCTCCATGATAATAATATTATCATCAATTATCATATTTACGATTTCCATGAATTAAAAAAAATGAATATTTCATGTAGATTTTTAAATAATATAAACTTATAAATATATAAAAAGATAATCTTCAATTAAAGACTAAGGATATCTACAAAATAAAATTCTTTTCACAGCCTCGCAATGAACAATTTTTTAAAAATAAAATCGTGGATAAAAAATTTAAAACAGAAAATAACTTATTCACAAAAATTAATTTTAATTAGGCCTGACAATATATACTGTAATAAGAGACTATTGAAACATCATAGGTTAGTTGACAGTTGACAGTTGACACGACACGACACTTCCAAATGAACTTAACACAATGAGGTCCAACAATTCCGCTTAATTAATATTAAGGTAAGGCCATCACCGGGCGTGCAAAATTAGGAGCGTCATTTAAAAGAAAGGAAATTGGAGGAAGTTGGTGAAATATCAGTTAAAATAAAATGAAATCGTACAGAAATCATTTTAATATGGATTTTGTAAGAATTGATGTAAAAAAAATCAAGACCGTTATAGAATATTTTTTTATAAAATTAAGAGAATTGTTACCTTAGAATTAAAGATTAATATTCTAATCATTAAATTATTAGAATTTTTTATAATAATTTATAAATAAATTATATTTATATATAAATAAAAATGTATATTTATATAAATATAAAATATATAAATATAAATATAAATATATTTATATATTTATATGTTGGATACTGAAGCGCGTTTGAGAGTGAAAGTGTGTGTCGAGTGAATTTTTAAAATTTGAGGTCAAATTTGTGAGCGAGTCTCTTTATATAGATTAAAACATAATGACAAAATATAATCTTTATAATTTATTTATAATAATATAAAATATAATCTTTATAATTAATTTATATAATGAAAATAATGTAAAACATTTTTATCTTTCTTGACATGGACAATATCAAAATCAAAGTATGAAAATAAACCAAAATATGTTCAAAAACCAAATTTTTAAATTTTGTTTGAGTTTTTTTTTTTTTTTTTTTTTAAGTTTACTACATGTGTTTTTTTTTTTACAATTAATGAAGCTTTAGTATTTTTAATATTTGTAATTCTTAAGTACAATAATTTTTTTTTCAATATAACTTATTTTATCTGAATCGATTCCATGCTCATAAAGGTCAATTTATTTCTTACTATTGTATATAAAAACTAACCTACAAATTCAATATTTGGAATAAAATATATTATATAATTATGATACCCTAAAATTCTGTGTAAATAACTATTTAAAGTTATTATTCTTTATATTTTATTCTAAAATATAACCTTAATTTTAAATATTATAATTTTTTCTAGAAACCAATAATCTATGTTTTATTATTTCTGTAAATTTATTTTAATATTCAATGGATTGATTTGCTGCTTGAGAAAATTAATACGTTATCTAAATATATTATAAAAAGAGTTTATGTATTGATAAAAAAACATTTAATAGATACATATTTCTAAAGCATTAAGGTATATTCATATTATAAAAATAATTACTACAAAAATATTTTTATATTAGAAACATTTGGTTGGAATATTGTCGAATTCTAGGTTCAATACTTGAACCTTTATGACTTTGTGTCAAGGTTGAAGGTTATATGGTGTCTATTATAAGGTATCAATATTTTTTTTAATAATTGAGATTGGATAATTAAAGTCAATCTCCATAATTTTTGGAACTACCCAAAATGTTGCATATAATTAAAATAATTACCACTACTCTTCCACAATTATAATCAAATCATTTAATGTACGTAATGATAAATATCATAATTCAAACTCATTAAAGTTAAACTCAACTCATAAAGTAAGTTTAGATTATATCTAGGATGAGAGTTACTTATTGATATGATTAGATAAAATATTAATAGTTTGAAGTAAGTTTTCATTAAAGAAATGTATGTGAAATAACTTAAAAAATATGCAAATGAAAGCAAATGAGAAGAGAAAATAGAAGATAAATAAATTTATTAAAATTTATTAAAAAAACTTATAATGGAATAGGTTAATATTTTAAAGTTCTCATTTGATCCGTAATACTACCTTATAAGTCTCCCACCTCCTATTAACTTAATATTTATTTATATTGACCGTTTTTCTTGAACTTAATTTCTTTGATGATCTCTTACGTTTGGTTATTATTCATTTTTTATAATAAATTTAATTTTAAGTTGGGAGGAAATTTTAGGATTATATCCTTGAAATAAGAATATTGGACAATTTGGATACTACAAAATAAAATCGACTGTAAATTGATTAAAAAAAATTATATATATATATATATATATATATATATATATATATATGAGCAAAATTGATCGGTAACTAAAAAAATTTATGAGTAATATTTACATATTTGATTCAGGTAATGATTTAAATCTAATACTTTAAAATTGAAGACTAATACTACATCCACTAAATTACTACAATTTTTTTATAATAACTTACAAACAAATTATATTTATATACAAGTAAATGTATATCTTAGTAAATATATAAATATAAATATTATTATATATTTATCAATAGATATATTGTATTCATTGGTAACTAGTAATTAATTTATAGACAAATAGATGCATCTGGAAATTAATTGTTAATTAACTCACCGGCAGATATATTTGTCCTAATTACTTTTTTTTTTTTTTATGATTATATTTATCCGGTAGCTATTTTTTTGTAACGGGTACGATTGAGTTAAAACTTCGATAATAGATATTATTATTATGTACATATCTGTCGTAAATTCTAAAATATGTGAATAACTCAAATTTATGAAAATTGGATTGAAATATTCATTTTCCTGTACCTTCTTCAAAGGAGTTGTCGCAGTTAGAAGCCATATATATTAAACTTCACTCACTGGACCAGTAATGCCATACAAATAGTTACAATATATATTCATGTACATGCTCGTATATAAAAGCGTTTATTATGTTATAGAGTTTTTCTACGTTTACACAAACTTTCATCCGTGGGAGGGGAAAGCAAATATTTTTTTCAACTATGTCATACGACAACAGTATATACCTAAAGTTATATAGTTCATGGAAGATTTTGTTGCCCAGCTTCTTCTTTCACAAACCGACTCCAAAACCAGTGTTTACCCCAAATGGTGTACATTGACTCCAAAGGAATCCCTTTTGTTTCTGGCAAGAAAAATATAATAAAGATTGTCATCACTACAATCCAACCACCATAGAACAAGAAGGCACCGAACTTAAAGTGGCACAGCATTGTCAAGAATGTCTGGGATAATATAAATATGGTTATGAACTGCATGCCAACAGCTATGCTTTGTCCAGTGGTTCTGATTCTTAAGGGGAAAATTTCACTTGGAATTAGCCAGGTGAGAGGACCCCATGACCAACCAAAACCAGCAGAGTAGAAACATAGAAGCACCAACACCAAAACCGCATTGCTCTTCGATATTTGCTTTGTACCATGAACACCAGTCGACACTGCTAGCAAAGTAGACACCGCAATCTTCACAGCAATGTCATTAGTACAATCCACATGTCAAATTATATATTCGAATAAAATAAGAAATATAGACATTAGACTCCTTAAAAAATAACTGGAAAGTTGATTCAAAGAAGGTAATTGGCTTTGCTTACCTGGCAAAGAAACATGCATATGCCACCAGTTATGAACAAGAACCTTCGACCAAACCGATCAACAATAGCAGTAGAGACGAGGAGAGAAGCAAGGGCGACTATTCCTAGTATGATGGCAGAGAGTAAAGCGGCATCGTGTCCCAAACCCACTGATTGGAAGAGGTTAGGAGAATAGAATGCGACGATGTTGATCCCCGTGAGTTGTTGAAAAAATGGGATAGCAAAAGCCATGACCAAGTGGGGTCGATACTGCCTCTCAAATATGGTCTTCAATGGCTCCTGCTCCACAGATTTTGCAATTTCTGACCACCTAATGAGCTCTTCCAATTCGGGTTCAACATCGATGGAGGATCCTCTGGCTTTGCGCAAGGCTCTTCTGGCTTCGTCTATTTTCCCACGTTCAACCAAGCTACTGGGAGTGTCAGTTATAAGCAAGGCACCAATTGTCATAACCGCGGCAGGCACCACGGCGATGACAAGCGAAACTCGCCACCCCCACGTGTGCTTCGCGGTTCCGAAGTTTATGCAGCCTGCAACGACCACTCCAAATGAGAGGAAGAATTGGAAGCCCGTGTTGAAAGCTCCTCGCCATTTCGGTGGAGCGATTTCAGAAAGGTACAACGGCGCAGCCTATTCCAATTCATGGCAACATGTAATGTAAGGCAATAATTATGTATTGTTGTTTTGAGTTATCTATTGTTAAATTTTGATCGTCAAACAAATTTTTTGAATTAATAACTTTTTTTTTTCTTTCTAGTTTTGACTTTGTTTATTTGTGGAGTAATCGAATTTTGTTCAAATCTTGTACGCTACAAATATATGAATGATGTGATAGAAGATTGGACTTTATCTGTTGTTCCTTTTCTTAATTATTAGGAAAAGAATATGTGAACATTTTTCTTATATTTACTAGTTTTTATTATTTCGGTTGTTAGGGAATAAACTTTTTAATTCATTGTATTTTTTTTTTTTTTTTTTTTTTGCGGTTGGATAATTGTGGTGGTTCTATATACACCTGGGATATTTTATCCCATGCCTACTTTTAGGAATTCAAGATAACATGCTGAATCATAAAAAATATATTTACAATTCGAAAACAGGAAAATATGCTAAAAAAAAAACTAACACCTTCGAAATTAATATTTTAAAATAAATTAGTTTTTAAAAAATTGTAAAAATAATACCTAGATACTGCGAATATCTTTTCCTGAATTAAGCTTTCCTAGAATCATAGTGGTATCGTTGCCCATTTTTTTATAGCAGACATAGGATCCATGATATGTTGGATAAATTTCTTTTATAAATATTTAAAGAAAAAGAAACTGCTTTTTCATAAGGATAAGTTTATTTATTGAAATTATTTTATGTCGACTTTATAGTAAAATTATATTTTTAATTTATGTATGAATTGATTTATTTTATGAAAAAAAAAATCTTTTTTTTCTCTCCTTAAAATACTTATATAGAGGTGAGGTTTACTAGTGTACTACAGATAAAGATAGAGTAAACATGAATTTTTTGGCGAGCAGTGGTGTAGGAAATATGTGGTGGGTGTTGACTCACTTGATTAGTGAAACCGACTCCAAATCCAAGTAAGATACGACCTAAAATGAGCATGGCAATATTTTCAGCACCTCCATTAAGGGCACCACCCATGAAAAAGATGACACCACCCAAGAGAATGGTGTTTCTCCGTCCTAATGTCATCGTGACCCGACTAGCTGCAAGAGATGATATCAAGCCAGCAAGGTAAAGAGAAGACGTAAACAATGTCAACACTTGACTATCGTATACGCAATATATGTTTACATCGGCACCAGCAGCTTTTCTCAGTATGTCTGGAAAGAATTTTTGCAGAAATGGAACCATTGTTGTAACACCTCCTGAAATTTATTGACATTTTTATTCAAAAGGGTGAGCTTTTCACATCCCATTCAATTCAAATCTTTTATACTTTCAGCAAATATTTGTTTTATTGAAATCTTTAACTGCAATTAGACTTAAGAGGCTTTTTATTCTGGACTTCAGTTTTTGACAACCAGGTGCATAGGTTTGTTGTTTGGTTCTACAGGATTGATCGGATCTAGTCTCAGATATAAATCTTGTAAATGAAAAATAAAGTGATACATAAAATCTCATAATCATAAATTTGATTGATATTTCACATCTATGTTTATGATAAAAGAATTGTGTATCACACAAATAAGTCAAGGCTCAGTTATTTTGATTAAACCCTAAGTTCCACAAATAAGTCATGTCTCAATTATTTTGGTTGAACACCTATTTTCCATGCTTGGAAAATGAAATTTCCCTTCCCCTTGTTGAAAAAAACTACTCCTTTTGAATTAGTCTTCAGCAAAAGTTTAGTGGAAAACGCAAGCATATATAATAGAAATTACACAGTTTTTGCTTAAAGTTAGTTATGATTACATTTAAGATTTACTTACTCAAAAAATTATATCCACATCTATTATTTTATAATTAATTAACACTCTTTAGTTTAAAATATAAAACAATCATTTTGTTTCTATATTCAAAAAACACACACCATATACGTTTGAACATTCAGTCAGATGTAATTTTAATATAAATAATTTTATATAAACCCCATATAATTATTCTTAAATTCTGTTAATTAACAATATTATTTGAAGTAAGATCTGTGTATATCCTAGCTCGCTCCTATTTATTTTTCTTGTTGATTTCAACCATGCGTAAGAGTTTATCGTCAAGAACTTATATGAAGTTCGTAAAAGCAAATAAAGGAGGGAGAAAAGAACCTGAAATTCCGATGTCATAACCAAAAAGGAGTCCACTGGATGCAGCAACGATGCAAGTGATGATAACTGAGAACGTGAGCTTGCCATCGAAACCATTGGTAATGGGTGAATCCACGGCGAAGCCCCCACCGGCCATTTTGAACCTCCACGTGCTCCTCAGCTATATATGTTATTTGTATTACTTAATCTAACTCTGCGCAGTGGCGCTCAGAATAATAAGACCTTGCGTGCATGGCTACCAATTTATAAGCAAAGGTTGTTTGTATTGACACTGTCTTTTGCAACTTGCTCCAAGTGGAAGAAATTCTGCGGCATTTTTTTTTATATTTTTTTTTTTCCAACGACAAATTGTCATTATATACTTCTCAGTGTGTCTTGTTAATCGTACACGCCAAAGTCAATACAATTTATTTTTAGTACTTGTTCACTGTCATTCATTCTTTTAGCCAATTTTCTTTGTCTAACCATTTAAAGTTTTTATGTATACTATCTGCAATCTCTCATTAATTGTTCAATTTTTACCTACTGTAGTATAACTATTTAACTCTTCACTGTTTATTTGTTGAAATGTAAGTATAAATGTAATTATAATTTTGTTGGATATGGAATAATACATAAGTAAGAAAGAGTCATATATATAGATTTAATATGTAGAATGAATATAATGCCATATTTATTAAGTGAACCACAGATTAAGGATAACGAGTATAATCACAATTCAAATTAATAATTGTTGGTCAACTTCAAATTCAAATTCAAGTTCTCAACGCATATATGCAAGCTGTGTTGCTAACACAGTATTTTCTCTCCCTTTTTTGAATTTACTTCCATAGAGAAATATTAATAATAATGAAAATAAAATAAAATAAAAAAATTGACGGTAAAAATAGGATATTGTTGAGTGTAAATTCTTTGCAAACTAATCTTATTAGAATCAATCGCCATTAATTTACGTTACAATACATCAATGTATAATATGTAATCATAGCAAATTGTATTACCTGGTCCTCCAAATTTAAGGGTCAACTTGTGGTATGCATCAGTTAAGACATTTAAAATTGTGTTTACTTGGTCACTTACAATATTTTTTCGATGAGGAGCTGTGATTTCCTGGAGTAACGCCCCTCGTCTATCGTTATATTCCAAAGTCAGAGAAAAAAAAGACAGATGAATTAATTACGTATTGTTAGTATATTATTAATTAATTTAAATTTATATTTTATTTAAATAGCCGCTGATTAATTTATGCTTTCAAGATAAAAGCGCAACAGCTATTAAACAAGTGTGACGTAATGTAGGTTTTGATTTAGAATTGACAAAACATCAACTATGCATATAAATATAGTGTCTAAATATTGTGGTAGTGCAACAGTATTGAGTTTATTCCATGTGCTCATTATTTTAAAAGGTTAAAGAAAAACAATAAAAATGAAATTAATCAACATTGGCAACATATCAGAAATCGTGTCTACATGAACATGTGTAAACTTGTTTGATGTACACGTCTATTTTAGTTTTTTAAAAATTTATTTAATTAACTTGTGAAAAATAAATCAACCTATTAGATTTTCATTTTCACTAATCTAATTAAGTTATGAAAAACTGATGATTTTTTAAGACATTTTACTTTTATTAACAAGTTGACAAGTTATTCAACTACCTCAAGAGTTTTTAGTTTTTCAGCTCTTAGTTCATAGCTTTTATACGTTTTCAAATATACACTAACTTATAAGTCAGTTTGTTATGGCATGTTTAATAAAAAAAGAAAAAAAAATTATACTTCATTATTAAAAAAAAAAACGCACCAAAAACTAGTTTATCAAAGAAAAGTTCTAATCTTTTTTTGAAAAAAAAAAATTCTCAATTTGCAAAATCAATCAATATGAATTTCATGACGTTCAAAATCAGATTAAGGTATGACGAAAACCCTAATTTTTAACAACTAAGTAAAGAGAACTTTGTGTATAAAGATACGGTTTGATGAACCCTTAACAACTAAGTAATTAAGTCTTAAATCATATGAAATTGGCTCCCTAATCAAATGTACTTTCTTCTAAGAATAATGTACTTTATATGAAGAGATTAGAACAAACTCTACATTACAGAAACATAGAAAATCTAAAATGATCCACCAGAAATATAGAAAAAACTAAAATTATCACACATAACTACGTAAAAGAACACCCAAAATGATCGCAAAGTTTTTTAAAAAATAAATTAGGACACAATATTTTAAGCAGCATTTAACTTGGCATTTTATCACTAAACATTGATTTTAAAATTCAAACATTCGATTTAAAAAACTATATTTGATTTTTTTATCTAATTTTTTTTTTGCTTATACCTTGAATAACATCTAATTATTTAAAATTAAAATATTAAAAATTAAAATATAACATATTGATTGAAAAAATTAATAATTACAAAAGTTATTCAAAAATATTTTAATATTAATATTTCTTATTAAAAATATATAAATAAATATTATATACAAATTAAAGTATAGAAAGAGATAACACTCTTTAAAATAATTTTATGTGTGAAATAAAGAATATAATATTTAAAAAAATAAATTATTTATATGAAATAATAAATATAATAATAAGATAATATAAAATTGATTATTTATGAATAGTATAACAAATATGATAAATCAAACAAATATTGTGCTTCGTATAAAATTTTCAGGAAAATAATTTTAGTAACTTAAAAATTAGAAATATAACAAAAATTTAAAAATATGAAAATGCAATATCAATCATTTAACCTAAAAAAAATGTTAAACAGAATTTAGAACATGACTTAATTTAACCTAAAAAAATTGTTTAAAGAGTTTAGAACATGATGACTTGCATACGACAAGTGTGCCATTGATCACACAACAACAAAAAAATAACAAAAAAATAATACAAGACAAATGACTTTGTTTTTGTGAAGAAACAAAACATATAAGAATAGAAAGGCTATTCAAAACAACAACATGTGACCGATAAATCACTTCCGTAGCAAATTTCCCGAAAAAATCCTTTTGCAGAATGGACTGGTGCGCAACATTTTGTAGTTACGAATTGCATCAACCAGAGATGCATGCAGAAGTCCCTGTCACCAATAATTTGTAGTAATTAATATAAGAATTTTCTCACATTTATTATTATGTGCTAATAATAGTAAGTAATTTTTCATACCTTAGTGACAGTAAGAGCAGATTGAATAACATAGTTAGCATATGGATCCTGTAAAAGTCGTTCAAAATGAGGAGCAGCCAACAATTCTCGAACTATTCTGGATCTGCTATCTCCAATGTTCTTCAGACATTTTTCAACTACATGGCTGCTGAATTTTTGAGTGGACAGATGTACATAATTTCCTTTAAACTGACCAAGCATTTTGGTTGAAGCAGTTGGTGTATCAGTCTCTATAATATATTGAACAACATAATTTCTGAAAAATAATAATTATAATAAATTAGAAAAAAAAATAATCGTTAAACTCTCTACTTGCAGAAACCAATAGAAATAAAATATTTTTTCTACACACTTAATTTATTCTAATTTTATTCAAATAAAATATTATTATAACTCAATGCATCCAATAATATATAGGATATATTACCCAAATGGATCCTGAGCGAGAAGAAGTCCATGCTTGCAGATTTCTGAGATCAGCCTATCTCGATTCTTACCCGTAGAATAATAAATACAGCGTTGCAGGACACAGCATCCATGTTGATGAGTAGCTATTTCAATGCAAAACTTCACAGAAGCATCAAAGATAAACTGCGAGAGAAAGAATACGTATGAGATAGTATACAGTATCATAGATTCTTCCACTAACTGAAGGACTATTCGTCGTGAATAGTAAGAGAATAGCAATATGTTCAGCATTGTCAAGAATAGACATTTTGGGTTAAGTCCCCAGAATATGACATAATTTCCATTTTCATGCTACATAATATAATGATAATATGAATGTTCTAATAATTTTCTATACTGGATTGTCATCTGATTGCATCACAATGTTTAATAAATTCAAAATGTTCATTAAGTACAAAACAACAAACACAGGTACGTAAAAACTTAAAAGGACATTAGAAAGTAAAAGATAGTAGAAAAGTAAAAGATAGGGAGTGTTATACCTGATTATCTTGAGAGCTGAAGCATTGCAAGCAACGTTGAATGACGTGATTTCCATTCAAATCCTTAATGAGATCAAGAAAACCCGGTTGAATGGCAGACTTGACCAATGAAATTTGATCATCGGAGTCGAGTGTCTCAATCAACTTCTGCACCACGCGCGTGCTGTTTGTTTACAGTGACACTATACTATTAATTAACAGTGACCAAAACCACACAACAAAACAAAAAGCATGGTCCATCTTATTTTAATTTTTCTATCCATGTACAAAAGAAGAAACTTTTTTATAAAATTATCAGGAATATACCCGTGAGTATTCAAAGAGATTCTAACGAGCTGGCCAGGTCGATTAGTCAACATGAGCACAATCTGCAGTCGTTGGTCATCGGTGCAAAAATCGAGCAGCTTTTGCACGAGATAATTCCCAAAAGAGTCCACCATAAGTTCAACAACATTACCAATGATTCCCTCAAATACCACACACATATCTCCGAAGCTTCCCTCATCAACCATCCGCTGCAGAAAACGACAACCGTTCTGATCCTTTGCCAGGTTGTAAATGTTACACTCAGAGTCAGGCACAGAATAAAAATCACGCAGCATGGGCAGTGAGAATTCGCCAATGTTTTGACCAGAAGGACCACCAGTAAAAAAGTTCTTGGAAACACTCCCATTCACACCAAACTCATCACGGGGAAGACCCCTTCTATAAGGGGAACCATACCTGTTCTCAAAGCAAGGTCTTGCATCTCTCCCTTGTAAGATAATGCTATTGTCACACCTAAAAGCTACAGGGTCTCCCCCAACTCGCCTCGGAGGCAGAAAGTGAGGAAGTTCAGTCTTCTCGGTGGTTGCAACATAATAATGTGATGGATTATTAGCATTGGAATTCATAGCAGGAGATAACCTGACGGGGTTTTTGAACCCTTCGAGAGAATGTGGAGCCATAAAACTATCACGAAGCATCTGACAGCTGCCACTGCTTGTGCCCTGTACCTGATCTCTCCTCTGATCCAGGTGATGAGGATAGACATGGTTGACTTGATCGCCTGGGGTATCAAAAGTGTAACCTTTATCCAACAGCCCCGCATTATTAACATGCTGGTGATACGGGACGAGGGTTTCGTTGAAAAACCCCGTGTTGTTAACATGCTGGTGGCAGGGAAGATTCCGTGTCTCGTTGAACAAACCCCCGTTGTTAACATGATAGGGAAGGGGTCCTTGTTCATTGAGCAAACGGGCATTGTTAACATGGTGATGGTATGGGAGGGTTCCTGTTTGATTGAAATAAGGATTTGGAAGGGTTCCTGTTTGATTAAAATAAGAAGGGTAAGGGTCCACACGGGTCTGGGTTTCATCATAGAGATTCATTTTGGAGAAATCGGAAAGGAAGGAGGGATCATGGTTCCAGTTGGTGTGGGTGTGTGTGTGAGAGACAGTGGAAGGGTCATGGTCCAAGCATACTTTGGGAGAGGGAGGTGGTGGTGAATATGGAGGAACCCTGGGTAGGGGGGACCCAACAGCCACATGGTCAGGGTGAAGGATGCGGAGTGGTGTTGGTGTTGGTGTCGGATTGGGTGCATCCGGAATCCGAACAAACCTGGTTTCTCCCTCCTCTGCTGCTCTCGTCGTGTTGTCGTCTGACATCTGGACACTGATGTGGGCGTCCATGATTGAGGTTTTTTTGTGTTGTTTTCACGTGAAAAAGAGTGGGACGGAATTAGAAAGTATTGGCGGCTGCAGCAATGCCTATGAATCTGGATTTGATTCCATCGGGATTTGTTAGTGAGGAAAGAAAGGAGGAGAGAGTGTGGAAGGGTTTTTGATTGCCAATTGCTACACCACTCAATGACTGAGGCAGGTTTAGCAACACACCCTTCTATTCTTCCTCTAATCCTATTTATCTTAGCCTCAAATTATGGAAAACTTCCCCGATTTCCTCCTACAAATATAAATATATATTCTTCGTTTCCTCTTCTGTTACTATTTCAGTTTATTTGAAAGAATCTAATCAAATCAATTTTAGTATATTTCAATCTTCTTTGTTCTGTTAAAATTGTTAACATTTGATCCATCTGTCAAATTATCTTTCATATCAAATGCGAACTAGATATCAATTCAGTTTGTTTTTTTTTTGAGCTAAACAATTTTATTTGGTTCCCTTAAAAACATTAATACCAATATTATTAACTTATTTTACATATATAATATATATTAATATCTCCCGCAAAAGTTTTGAGTTATCTTTTCAATTATTAAGTTGCTTAGTTTTTAAACTTTTTCTTTTTCTTCCTCTTAATTAATTGCCTAAAATATCCTACTTAATTATAATACTATTTTCTATGAGTAAATGTGATCTTTTTAATCTAATGGAAACTTTTTATGTATATCCATATTTAAAAAAGATAAAAAATATTTATAAATAAAATTAATTTGAAAAAAAAAACAGTTATATAATATGAAATATTAAAAAAAATTGAAATGTGCCCACTAAAATATTAATTATACAAATCAATTCTTTATATTTAAAAAATAGTTAGAAAAATTGTAACAGAAAAAGTATTTTTTAAAACAAATTTAAAAAACAGTTATATAATATAAATGATAAAAAAGAAAAGAAATATATACATTAAAAAGTAATTATTATAATATGTTATTAAAAAAGTTATTATAATATAAAGTAGTTACTAAATTAATATATATATATATATATATATATATAAAGATAATTATTATTAGTAATATCTCTTCATATATTAGTATATATTATTATTAAATCCCTTCTCATTTGAATATAGTATATTGTTATTTAAATGTGCAGTCTTTTACATCATACTATTTGATAGAATTTTTTATGCTGATATTTGATTTGTCAAATATTATATGGCAAGGTTATTTATTTAAATTTAAATATGTTAATAACTATTAACTAATAACCGCTCTTTTTAAGAGTATGTTAATTTATTATAACCTTGTAAATATAATGTAAATTTGATGTGAACTATGATTGAATGTGTTGTTGCAAGTATAGACAAAGCAGCAATATTCTGAATAATATACATTTAGTATTTTTAATATACATTTTAATTTGATTGCAAGATGTGAATACGTGGATTTACACGGTTTATTATTCAATATTTTAATCTTAATAAGCTATTTCACTGATTCCTGTTATATATAAGTCTTTTAGTGCTTAATATGTATCAATCTGGTTATGTTTGTTTATTTGAGGCTGAGACCTAATATATTTTAATGTCTTTGAAATTTGAATTTGATTGATTGTTTATTTAAATGTTGTGTGGTGAAGTGTGATTATGAAATATATAGGACAATAGGTAAAAAAATGCTTATTGTTGATGTCCAGATTGGTGATTAATTTGTAAATAATCAATAATGTTGGAATATAATATCTATATTTTTAACCATGAATAACAATCTTAATTGGTTAATGTTTGTAGAATAAAAAACCTTTAAAATTATTGTGACTATTATTAACATGTTTAAATGAAATTTGCGAGGAAAGTGGAGAGTAAAAGGTGGTTGGTAACCAAAAAATATTATTTTCTTTATTGAATAGCAACAAAAATATAAAAAAAATATGCCAAATTTTACTAGACATTGTTTATTTTGAATTATATAAAGGAAAAAGTGAAAAAAATATAAAATTATTTCACTAAAGAAAATAATTATTACTTTTATATTTTTAACTTTAATTTATATATATATATATATATATATATATATAAACTTTTAAGTATTATTTGAATAAAATGTTATAATAAAAAAAAAAATTTTTAACGTGATATTATTTTATTAATTTAAATTTAAGGTTTTTAAAAATATATATAATTTTTATTATAAAATTATTTTATAATTATATAACAAAATATATTATTAAAAAAATAAATATTAATTGAAAGATATAATCTAAAATTTTATTTCATTAATATAAAAAATAATGATTATAAGAAAAATTTTATAATTAAAAAAATATTTAATTTTAATTCAACTATTTTTTAATTTTTAAAATGAATATTTTTCTGTTTTTTCAATTTCTTTAAAAAAAATATTCTTCAATTATTTCATCTCTTTTTTTCTTCATATTTACTTGTCTTGTTACCCAATCAAATCATAAAAAAACTAGAACAAAACTATAAAAAATTAATAGCTTTTATTTTCTTTAAAAATTAAAAAAAATGTTTATAATAATATTTTTTTAATATAGTATATTTTGAAATTCTTGAAACAAATATTTAGTAGAGATTTTAGTCAATTTTGATCTAAGGAGAAATTATAACAGTAAAATAGGAAAAAGAAGAGTTTACAAATGGGAGAATTTCAATTTCAAATTTTAAATAATGAAAGTTACACACAAATAAAGTGATTCGGTAACTGTGAAATTCATTAAAGTGATTACCTAAATTTTATCTAAATTTGTGTTTTTGCATCAATTCATATTAAATTAGTTCAATTGGTACAAAGTAATTTTTATATTTCTTAACATAAAACACTTTAAGCATACTAATTGTCAATAAAATTAATTAATTTGTTGACTTTGTTAATTATTAAAATAGTATACATATAAAACTTATTTTTACATTAATGATGTATAAAATTTATTTGTCACTACTCATTAATAAAAAACAGATATATTCATAATATTTAATAAACAAAATAAAAAAAATTAATATTACATAGAAATTATGAATTATCTTATAAAAAACCATAAATATTTTCTAAAAGATGTCTTAGTAATAAAATATATATTGTATAATATTTAGATACAAGTAAAGAAAAAAAATGTAAAGTAATTTTTTTTTGTCTTAACTAATTAAAAAAGAAATCGTTCAATGATGAGATCAAACAAACAATCTAGAATTATTTTAGATGGCTAAAATTATAATAATTGCAAGAGAGAGATAGCATAATATTCCTTAAAACATGATAAAAAAATTTATTTTGATAAAAAATATATTATACTTTATTATTGATTATGTAAAATTAATTTACATAATCGTGATTATTAAATTCTATAAGTAATTAGTTAAATAATACAAATTACAGAAAAAAGATGTAAAAAATATTCAAATTTTATGAGAATGTACTATCAACGTTAAAAAATTTTAGATTATCAATGATATACGATAAAATTATTATCTTTTGAAATAAATATTTTAAAAATTATATTTAAAATAATTTTAATTAGTTGATAGTATAAAACATTAACTCTAAGGAAATGTTTGGTTGTCATAATAAAATAACAGGATTTTTTACGTTCAGATGGTAATTTTTAAAAACTTGCCAAACAAGATAAAATTTAGAAAATTAGTAAATATATATATGAAATTTTGTTTATCCCACATCTTGCGTGAAGGTAATCATTATGCAAATAACCTTCTCTCACATAAAACAAATATAATAAGAAAGGTTTGGTGGGATTGGATTCCTAAGTTTACTTCTGTGGCGATAGGTATTGTCTTCCTAATTACAAGTTTAGATAGACTCTTTGATGGACACAGGTGTTTTTGGTTCATGTCCCCCATGATTTGTAGATTTATGATATGTTGCAGAGGGTATATAAAATATTGGACTACCAATCTAGTTATGTCTCAGTAAATTTTATAATGACATTTCAACCCAAAAATGTTACTATGGAAAGTCGAAATATCATCGCAACTTGTAAAAGAATCTGTCAACATTATTCTTAGTTTTCATTTATTTTGAAACAAACAGAATTCTTAACTCACGTAACAAGAACAAAATATGATTACTGTCAACTAGTTCTAACACAATGTTCATTATGATTAAAAAAATGCAAAAAACAATGTCATTATCACGAAAGATTACATTACCAAATCATCATCACCGAAGATATTCCGGTTTTTAACTCTAAATCGCAAGACTTGCTGATATGAAAAGGTCCACCCAAATCATATCTATAACTAACAAGGAAAGAAATCTCAGTTTGTTTTCTGTTGTTTTTAAATAACTTTATCCTTTCATTAATGGTTGTTGTAAATATTTTTTATGTAATTTCCGTATTAAAAAATTTAGAGATTGATGAGATGGTGGAAATGTGGAACACTTTGCTTCAAAGCAAGGTTCATTCCCATTAGGGTAAGTGGAGGAGGAGTCCTGTATGGCGTACTACTTAAAGGCATTCACACCTCCGAATGGAAATCAATGTAAACTACAAAAGCAACTAATGAATCACAGGATCAATTAAACAGTTCAAATCACTTCATTAAAAAGCAAACACAGGGAAACACAAGATTATGGACATACAACCAATTAGCATATGGTTCTTTTGGTCAAGACATCAAGAAACCTAAAACACCAATTCCCCAAACCCAGAATACAAGGTCAAATAATATAATAACACAACCCCACTAAAATTAATTAAAAACAAAACAAGACAGTATGAAGATAAGTTAGACCTAATAAATTATACCAAGGCAATGCTGCTCTCACCACCGGGTGGCTTCCGTACGCCACCTAGGTAGTCTCTTGCTTCTACCTTCCCATCAGCAAAGATGTTGCTGCCACTCATCTCTCGTAGTTTAGCCCCACTCAATGATTTCTCAGCGGATGAAGGTGGCACATCACCTTTGAATATGTCATTCCCGGAAAGTTCTGCAAATTTCTTGTTATAGATCTTCTTTGCTGTCTTCATTGGTTCCCCAGCAGCGTTGGTTTCGCCTTGATCTCCGTCTGCCTGTAGACCAAGATTACAACATGAGCCACTTATTTAAAAAATGCACAATGATAAATGCTAAGCAAAAACATCAGCTTTATAATTCCCCTGCACTTAACACGATTTATATTCACATCATGTTTAGATTTCCAAATTATGTCCATAATGCAGTTAGTTCAGTATCACTTCCTTGTAACATCATTGCACAGCTAATATGTATGTTTGTCTAAAAGAAGTTCCATATATTTTTCCTTTTCGCCTTCTCGAGGAGTGTGTCCCCCACAAAGTATAAGATCTAATCTACTCTCTACTTAAGGAAAAAAAGAGAAGATCCGTCCCAAACCACTTTTGCTTTATTCACAAGAGATGGATATGGAACCCAATATCTTGCTAAAGGGGGAAGAGCCCTTGCAATCAACCTGAGTTGATATACAGAGTCCTATATGCACTCTATTAGAGTATCCATATTTTTACTTTTTTGGCAGAGATCAAAATGTGAAAATATTCACCCAAATAATTCAGGGTTAGAAACTTAGAGCGGTGCATACATGACGTTCTCCAATGCCGATGCTCCCTTTTAACTCAAGTACACGAGGAGTTATTGGACTGGGTTTGATTTCTGGTGGTGGAGCAAATATGTCATGACCGCTGAGCTCCTTGCACTTCGCATCAGAAAGTTGCTTTTTCAATATAGAGTCTTCGCTTTCCAAAGTTCCACTAAGCTCACGCTGCTTGGCCACCTCAGGCAAGGAAGTGGGTTTTTTTGGAGAAATACTCTCCTCCTCACCAAAGGAGATATGGCTGATTCCAGCAATCGCTTGCTTTAATTCAACAGTGAACAATAAACATCCAAGTTAGCAGAAATCCGTGACCGATACAACATGTAAAAGCATCTGTGTCGTTGTATGTATATATATAAATATAAAAGTACCTGGTACATACGGACTCCAGTCTTATTTGGGTTTGTACTGCCAGCTTCTGAGGGGTCATCTTCCCCATTGGCTACAAATATTCCACTACCAGTTATCTCCTTCATCTTATATTCCGAACAAGGCTTTCTGGAAATTCCACAGCTAGATAATTTCAAATGCAATAGAAATGTAGACACAAAGCAAAATTGATCTAGGATTCATAATACTACCTCTTGTCCTTTTAAAAACGACAGAAAGGTGTATGATTAAAAATTTGAATTCATACTCATTTTACTCGAGTCTAGAATCATAATAAAGTAGGAACAAGAAAATGAAAAGGAAATCAATTTTCTGAACAATGGTTAGAATAATGAATAAAGTTTCTCCATTCTGAGACAATATATATTCCACAAAAGAGTGATACTTGTAGCTCACAAAGTCACAGTGAGGAATTTGAACACAGAATATGAATAAGTGCTAGAGTTGTGGGTTTCGCAGGGACAAGCATGGCATGAAAACATCTCGAATTTAATTTCGCGTCACTATTTCTAACCAGCCTGATGTTGTAAATGTGACTTCCCCACAGTAACGGTAAGAAAAACATGTAGCGGGCTGAACCAAAAGCTCAATTCATCACTTCAGTTTCTAAAACAAACGAATAAGACGTGGTGGAAATCAGGAGGAACAAGAAAGCAAGGTTAAAACGATAGATCCGATCATCCAAATCCAACAAAATCAGTCAATCTCATTTGCCCCCATTTCAAACATCCGCCTATTAAGGGGTGAATAAGTAAAATAAGCAGGAAACTCAACAGAAAGACTGCGACCCAAAAACAGAAATAAATTATTGATCATAGATCAATGCCAGAAACAATGGGTAAAAACATACAGAACGGCACAAACACAAATTGGGTATATTAAAAAAAAAAAAAAAAAACTAGCCCCTTTCCATATTTCAAAGCTAGACCAAACGGGTTCCAAGTTCTAATTAAAAAAAATGATGAGAGAGAATAGACTAGATCTCACCGTTTGTTTAAGCTCTCCACTTCTTCATCGGTGACCTGACCCCCAAATACCACTTTCCTGATCCCATCCGACGGCTGAAATTGGGCAACAGCAGAAAAATGAAAAGATAAATAAATAAAGAAAAGTTAAAACTAGGGAAAGAAGAAAGAAAGAGAAGGGAGAGTAGAATATACCTGGTGAGAACGAAGGGCGGAGGAAGGAGGAGGTGGGGAATCAGAAATGGGAGTTTCCGACCAAGTAAGCAGATCTGCGGTTGAAGTGTGTGGCTTCCTCACCGGAGTGTTTCTCTCCATACTGTTGAGTACTACCCTGCTCAACCAATTAATCAACCCTTATTAGCTATCACTCATTCCTCCCTCCCTCTTCAGTCTTCAAAATCCCCCAATAAAACAAAATACAAAAAATGACAAGAAAAAAATGGAAGGGGGGACCGTGCCTGTTCCTGGGTGCGCAAGGTCGTTATGCTAATCTTCAGCGCAGAAATGACGACGATGACCTCCCGATCTCCAAGATTCTTTTTGTTTGCTCAATGGTAGAGAGAACTCAGGAGAAAGTGAATTTATTTAAATATATATATATATATATATATATATATATATATATATATATATATATATATATATATATATATATATATATAAGGGCAGGTAATGGTAATGGGTAGAAAAAGAGTGGAGTGTAGAGTAGTACAAACAAAGTAGAAGCTACTCTTCTTCTGTTTCAAAACCAAGCAAACGCCAACCAAACACTCATACACTCCTCTTTCTTATATAAAACCCTTTCCGTTATTTTTCCTTTTTAAACTTTCACTATTAATTACTATTTACTCTCTCTTCCTATTTTGAATCTCAAACCGCCCTTGTGTATTTGTATTTTGTAACTAAGGACTATTAGCATGTGCGCCGCATGTACCGCCACATGTCGGTTGTTACAAGGGAGCACAGGAATATTCCTTCTTTGCCCTCAACACAAATGCCACTTTTTTTTTTTTTTGTTATTGTTTCCCTTCTTAAGCAAATCACCCACCCACTATGTGATGATGATGAACTGGACTGATTTTACCTTCTTTTCTTTTTTCCTACTAAATTTAGTGAAAGATTAGCCACACAAGCCAACTGCTACTGAAAAGCACGGTGCAAAAGAGAAATAATGTAACATAATAACATTTGTGTGGTCTCAGATTCATCAAAAGATTATTTGAGAAGAATAGAAATTAAGGAGGCATGAAACAAAAATGTGGGTGGTTCTTAGGGTTGTGGGGGAAATGACAACTAGTGGGTTCTACATGGAAGCAATGCACATTCGACATCTCGTGATGTTCATGTGCGAAAAGTCAAGGCCTGCCAACTAATTTGTGACTTTATAAAATTTTATTCCTGGGAAGAATGGCGCGAGGTTTTTCCAGAATTGTGAGATTGAGCTTGAATTCTCTTTTATAATATTTGAGTGAATCATAAACCATTCGTGGGACAGAAGCAAAAAACACGAAAAGGCTTCACGTGTGGGAAATGGGCATCTCTCATCAACATTGTGATTCATAATCCCCCCCCTTCACATGCTCCCAACACAAGCTTTACCTTTTCAGCTTTTCTTTTCCTTGTTTCGCAAAAACTCCGCTCCATAATAAAATAAATAAATGTAGTAAATAACAATAACCATGGGGCCAAACGGAGCAGAGCAGGTAACCACTTGTGGTGAGGGCATTTTCGTTTCTCAACCTAATTTAGGTGATTGTGGGAATGCAACGGTATCCAACCCCAACGATAAAGTTATCCGTTGGAAAGCAAACCCCAACCGGCTGCTTCTACCACTTATTTCCCCAATATTTCAAATTTTAAATTTCTTTTGCAACTCATTTACAAAATGCCCATGATAGTGACGTGTTCTTTTTTTTTTTTGTGTTTTTAGTATTAATAGCATTAGTTTATTTATAAATTTAAATTAAGTAAAATATTTTTATGTCTCTCACTGTACCTTTTCAAATTTGATTTTAGTCTATATCAAAATTTAACATGTCTTGGGAATTGTTATTGGTACCTCTTTACTGTTAACCCCTACCTTTATAATTAAATCTAAGATAATTACTGATGTATTCCCAACCCTTTTGCTATTCTCACCCTTCCGTAGTTTTATATAATTATATAATAATTATTTTCTAAATGAGTTAAAGTTATTATCTTATTAAAATAGTACAAATTTATATTTAATGAATTTACAGTAGCATATGAAATATCAATATCTAATGAATCTAGAATAATAAATTTAAAATATTTACTATTAACTTCAATTTCAAAGGAAATAAAATAAACTTAACATCTTTGAGAAAATATTGTTAACATATTAATACAGAACAATTAATATGTAAGTAAGTTTTAATGTGAAATATAAAAAACTGTATTGAGTTTTCAATGAAAATCAAATTTTCAGAAATTTTGAATGATCAAAACTACATATTACTTATTTAAATTTCATTAGTATTTTAATTTGTATATATATTAAAAACATTTATACTAAATAAATATTTTTTAATATGAAAATTATATTATACTTACTCTTTTAGTAAATAAATTATATTTTATTTTTATAATGAATCATTTAAATTAGAATATAAGGAATTTTTCAAATAGTGATATCTTAAAAAATAATTTAGATATTGAGAAAAAAAATTGAAATCTATAAACACTTGAAAAATATAAAGTATGGATAATGATTATAAAAGAAAATAACTTTTGAAATGATCGAGAAAATTTCTTTTTCGGTTAATTGTGGGGTAGTGTGTCAAATAATTATGTAAGTTAAATGACTCTGTTTGGATTTGTTGAATAAGAGGATGACAAACATTCAATCTATCTCCAATATTTTTGTCATTTTTATAATATATTAAATCTGATACATTTTGTTTCCATTACTTTTAAAATTCGATACATTTTATCGCAAAATTTTATATATTTTATTATTTTACTTTCAGAATTCCTTACATATTATATTATATTTAATTTATATTAATATTTTAATGTCACATCAATATGACGTCCATATTATTAATAATGACAAAATATATAAAAAATAAATTTGAATAATAGAATTCGTAAAATAATAATAATAATTAAGTGGTAAAATATATAATTGAGTTTTAATGTAGTCATAGGATAGGATCATATTGTTTTGGAATAACAATACGCATTGGTTCGAAACTTTGAACAAGGGTATTGGATTTTAGTTAGTTCTTTTAACAGAGGTAACATACATATTCAAAGCATAGGGTTTTCATGGTTATGTCGAGTTTGGGGTTTGGATTTATAACAGTAGAATTTTAGGGCGAATAAAAGAGTTGACCAGAAAGCATGTGTGAGAAAATATATGACATCACGTCCCACACTTTAGTGCTAACCTAACTTGAAGCACACCCAACCAGCACAATGGAAGGACGATTCCTTAAAGAAGCCATAAGGTCAGTCTTCTACTAGGTTTTTATGACTCTTGATTTCCCTCCACCATCTACCCCAGTGAAAACATATAATTGGATGTATAGTTTTGTATTGTACGAAATGAAATATATTATGATAAATAGTTACCATCATTTTCATCCTACCTAAGGCTTGCCACCAGCTGTTGAGGTTAATGAAAAAAATGGAAAAACGCCCACCGTGGGGCTCGAACCCACGACCACAAGGTTAAGAGCCTTGCGCTCTACCAACTGAGCTAGACGGGCAAGTTGAAAGTTCGGCAGTAGTTATGTAATTATCATAACAAAATTGGACATTCTAGAAGATAATTTGTTCTACTGTTCTGTTTGCCCGTGCTGTCTGATGGCCGTAAGCGTAGCAGTTGCCGGTATGTACACTCTTACTCCAACCCTCTCTTCCTTCAAGCACCCCACGCGCCTCTTCTCACGTGCTGATTTCGTTACGAAGCTTCGATTTCCTCTTTCACTTCGACTTCGAGCTTCTTACACGGCCGTTATCGACGCCGAAACCAATTCAACGGTAACACTTCTTCTACCTCCCGTTGAATTTCCGTTTTACGCACATATTGATTTTCGTTCGTGCTCTTTTCAAACATTTGCGTTAGCAACGTAATTTTGTGTTTAGGAATCGATCGTAGTTGAAAAGGAAGTACGCAATAGCAGCAACACGTTGGCTTGTCCAGTATGTTATGATTCCTTGACATGGAACGGTGGTCCTGGTTTGTCCGTGTGAGTTATTTAATAATAGATTTTTTTTTCTTCTGCTATATGTGTCAATTTGGTTACTTATTCTCTTTTGTATTCATTGTGATAATTTTTTTTTGTCTGCAGAGATAGTATCGGTGGATCAAGTTTTCAATGTAGCACCTGTCAGAAAACGTATGTTGGTAACCAAACGCATATTGATCTCACCGCAACAGGTGGAGCTAAGACATATGGTGAAACGATGCCAGTTTCCACAGAACTTTTCAGGCATTCCAGTTCTCTTTCTTTTTCTTTATGTAAAGTTGTTCTTTTTTTTTGGTTCTGATCAATCTTTAGTTGCATTTGATGATTTTAGAGAATGGTTTCGTTTTCCTTTTAGTCATGTTCCTACATTTGATATGATATTTTCTTCAGTTTTAGCGAATTTTAGTACCGTTGAACATAGATATCGCATGCCTATGAAGATTAGTTTGTTAATAATGACACACTGCTGCTTAACAGTGTAGTTGTTTCTAAATGCTGATGTGGAGTTGAGTTTGAAACTAATTTGCCACTGTTATGCGTACTGATTGTTTGTTGAATCAGGGTGCCATTGGTATCATTTCTCTATGAGAGAGGCTGGCGTCAAACCTTTTCTGTGTGGGGTGGTTTTCCAGGTCCTGAGAAAGAGGTTAACTAAATGCTCTGTTCCTAATAAAAATTCCCTCTTGATGAACCCACATTATTTTTTTAGTTTATTTTGTTAAAATGAAAAATATATGGTGATATCTTCTTAGAGTATCTAAGATGTTGATCTCTTGCAATTTATTCTTCTGTTATATTTTATGAATTGTTTTCTTATTTAATTATAATATTTATAATTATAAGGATATTTTATTAGAATTAGATTTGTTAGAATTTATTTTATAAGCATATCATATCATATCATGTACATAAAAAAAATATCCTTTAGTTCATACACATAGTTAAAACTTATTATTTGTGAATGGAAGCTACTTATCCTTCATTATAATAAAAATAAGGATTGTTTAGCTTGTGAAACTTAGATCGTTTAATTGGCTCAATGAGGAAGCAACAAATATTGTCAGGCAGGACATTGAGCCTAATGGAGATGACAATGGTGATAATAATGCCTTCTGTCATATTTGGCATTATGTTTTTGAGAAGATCAATCTTAACATCATCATTGGTCTTAATCTCCTTGGAAGATAGTGAATAGCCTTGTATAACTTGTACAAAAAGTCTAGAACCATTCAATCCATAATGCCATCTGATCAAATGCTTCAAAGATTTTATGGAATTTTGAATAAGTTATGCAATGAAAGTTTTGCACCATCTTCTAAGAAGATTAAGACAAGTGATGATGTTAAGATCAATACTCGCAATAACACAATACCAGGCACCACAGAAGGCATTATTGCCACTGCTGTTCCTACATTAGGCTGAATGTTCTTCTCGTTAATTTTCTCTTCCTCAAGGAGGTGAGTACACATTCTGAGATTCACAAGCTAGACTATTCTTATTTTTTTATTATTAGATATGTAGCTTAATAATTAAGTCACAAGTTTGCATTTACAGAATTCTAAATAGTCGTTACTTCTCTTCCAGTGTGATGTTCTTTCAATTGTTCTAAGTAGCTAATCTCACAAGCATCTTGCAGGTTTATATTTATAAGCTAAAAATTTAAACATATCAAACTAAGTATAAATAATTTACCTAGACTCAATAAGCTATCCATATTAGCCAATAAGCCCACTCTTAGCTTGTGGGAGTTGTATCATTTAATTTGTCTTATTACCTTTGGGTGATTGGTGAAAAGAATATGAGTTTGGATGTGGTGCTGCACAATATAAGATGAACTTCTCTGATATAATAATGAATCTGTATTCTATTGTCTTGTGTATTTTTATATTAGAGTTATCTTGTTGATGTATGACCACTTCATGGTCGTTTCCTTTTGATGTGCTTTAACAGTTAATCATGCCTTCTACTGAATGTGACTGCAGTTTGAATTGATGAAGGGTTTCCTAAAGCCAGCATTGGGAGGAAATATTATTGATGCTAGTTGTGCAAGTGGATTGTTTTCAAGATTATTCTCAAAAAGTGGACTGTTTTCTTTTGTTGTTGCTCTAGACTACTCAGAAAACATGTTGCAGCAATGTTATGAATTCATTCAGCAGGAAGAGAACTTTCCAAAAGGGTACACAGTTTATATTTCTAAATTCATTAGAAATTTATTATATCGAACCTTTGAATTCAAAGTTCTAAGGGAACTCTGTAAGCCATCTTTTATTCATATTACAATAATATTTAGTTAATACTTCTATTTTTAGGAACTTCATCTTGGTTAGGGCAGACATATCTAGGCTCCCTTTTGTTTCTAATTCTGTTGATGCTGTACATGCTGGCGCAGCTCTCCACTGTTGGCCTTCACCATTGACAGCTGTAAGTGAATAATAGTTCATTATGTTTGGATTTTGCAGAAAAATGTTTCATTTCTTTAAATACCTGTGACGGTGGCTTAGGGGAAATCATTTAGCCATGGTTTTTGAGATGTTTACAAAGTCTGTATGTTAATCTGAAGTAGAAAATGTAATCCCTAAATGTGTGACGTATAGTATCAACAACGACAAGAACATGTTTCATACTTTTAATGATGCTAGCTGATTTTAATATAAGCTCCTTCTGCAACGTTACCTTTACATTATGGAAAAATTACTTCGGCTGATTTATCACTTAGCAGAATGCTAGTTTAGTCAGATGGCCATGCCTTGCATCACTCTGTAAGTTCACTTTCTTTTTGTATGATCTGTTTTAACAGGTGGCTGAAATAAGTCGTGTTTTACGACCTGGAGGTGTATTTGTCGCAACCACCTACATACTTGATGGTCCTTTTTCTGTTATCCCATTTCGAAGTACATTCCGGCAGGTATTAATTTTGAATTATATTTTTTTATACAATTTTTTTTTATGACACTTACTAAAGTATCATTTTTTATCTGCCTCCATTACATCGACCATTTTATTCCAAACTTCTCTTTCCTCTCTTTGTTGTAAAACAAATAATAAATCTTTGATGATAATTTCGCTAAAGATTTTTAGCTTGGGCTTTTTTGTTTAAGTCGTGCATGCTCCGTCTAAATTGATAAACTCAACAAGAGTACCAAGATTTACTTAGTTGTTTTTTATAGTTTTTTATAGTTTTTTTTTTCTTAATTTGGGTCTGCTAGCTTCAATTCAGTTTCTCAATTATAGGAAGTCAGTATTAATTTAGTTCCTCAATAATATGAAAAGAAAAATTTAGTCTCAGAATCACGGTTGTGCATGGAAAAATGATTATAATTTCAGTTTCCATGACTGAGGGTTAAAGTATTGTCAACTCGGTCTTTCAGTGGCTAAAATGAATCTTTATTTTAGAAACCTTTATCATTTACGTTTATTTCTATAAGTTTTGATTAATGGAATATATATTTCTTTTAGAATTTTAGTCAATTATCTGGGAGCTACATCTTCCTATCGGAACGTGAACTTGAAGATCTCTGCAGGGCGTGTGGGCTGGTTGGATTTAAATGCATTAGAAATGGGTTTTTTGTGATGATCTCTGCTACAAAGCCCAACTGAGGTTTGAGTTTCCCGGTGCTCTGTTTCCTGCCTTGACCACATTTTGCTGAAGCTTATATATTTCTTTCCATAATCAAAATTTTCAATTGTTAGCAGATAAAATGCTGCATGTTGATCTGTTTAACTTTGTGGTTTTGCTTTGTAATACATTAGGCTTCATTTAGAAAAATTATATTAATACATAAATTTCTGCAAAGGAGGAGTTATGGCTGATGATGAGAAAGGCGTACAAATCACAATGATATATTTGTTTTTCTTCTCTTAGGATATGATTCATATAATACAAAATCGTTTCTGTTCACTGATGATTGGAGTAATATTCTTTACTATTCGATGTTTTTAAACTTCAGATGATTCTATACTTGATTAAATTGCACATAAAAACAAGAAAATTCTTCCCTGAAAGGAACGTAAGCTAAAATCAAGGCTGAGAGTCTCTTTTTTCCACCCTGCCCGCATGATTCAATACAAAACACCAGATCGAGTTTCGGTTAATAATTTAGTAAATATCATGCCACAAATATATGGTTTTAAAAGACTTTACTAGCTTGGAGCTTAATCATTCCAAGAAACAATTATTTATTTAATTGTTTTTCAATTTTATTTTTAAACAAACAAACATTTTTTCCCTAATATTTTGCACCTTTGTTCCTCGGTTTGTCTATGTGAATAATAATGTTTTCATAATGTTCTATCCTACTTGTGCCAGTTCTGCATCAGAAAGATGTCCTTAGACTTAACCTTACAAGTCCCTTTTATTAGGTTAATTTTCCGTCAGTCTAGTCTTGGGCGGCCTGGATCTTAATAATCTAATTTGATATGCCTTTAATAGATCTATTATAACGATCTTTGATTATAGACATGGGGTGATATGAACTTTGGAAATGAAAACTGCGAACCTTAGAAATCGTCATATTATTGACTACCTAAGTCGATAATGGTTTAATCAAATTTAAACAGTAAACAATCCTTTCTTTGGTCAGAAATTTAGGCTTAAATTCTTGTCCAAAAACAATTAGAATATTGATAATTCTCATTAGAAGGGTCCGATGTCAACTTTTGTTAGGTTAGATACATTCACACTGTTGATTACATGGATCACAAATTAAGTTAGATGAGACTACAAAGTGGATCATGAATTCAGTTAAAAGGGATAATATAGTAAATCTCATGTGATCACAAATTTACTCAAAATTGTCCATATTGTGGATCCTCATAGAATTTTAATATAATAAATTTCATTCAATCACAAATCGGGTTAAATATAATTATATCGTAGATCTCATAAGATCTCAATATGATGGATCTCATAAGATCTCAATATGATGAATCTTATATTGAGTTGAATATGATATGTCGTGGATCTCAAATATCTCAGTGTGTGGATCTCATAGAATCTCAATATGGTATTGTGACCGATAGTTTAAAAGTGGTTTATGTATCGAAAATTTTATTGACATTGAGTTAAATAAATATATCTCATTACGATGAACGATTGTACATAAAAGAACTACTAGTAAACTCGAGGGATGTATAAATGTGAAGAGACTCATATTTGAGGAAGAGAATGTTGAGAAATATAAATGTGAGTCTAAGTGTTAAGCAATATATAAGGAAGAAAAATTCATAACTTACTATCTTAAGGTTTTATGTTAAAGATGATGTCAATTCTTTGTATGAATTGGATTCTTATCTCATTGTGTTGTCTTTTTTTAATGAATCTTTCTCAACAAATTTAATAGTATTCTCCTATTATATAAGAGAAAAATTTTTTCTAATAAACTTTGCAAATAGATGTTTCATATCCAAAGATTAGCAATATATTTTCATCAAAGTATCATTTTTATTGTAAATCTTATTATTCTCGGTTATATGTTTTTGTTTTTTTTTTAATTTAATAAAAAATATTTTATCATTTATTAGATGTTAAATGTTCTAACCAAAAGTTAATGAAAACTTGAAATTCTAAATCATTAAAAAATCTCTTTAGTAAATTAATTCTTTATTTGTTTGATTTTGGTAAACTTTTGCCTAGAATTCGCTTTTATTAAGTTAATCTTCCTTGCTGAACTTGCACCTTAATAATCTTATAAAATATGTTTCTAATAACTAGTTTCACGTTACGTGAGATTTATTATTATAAGAACTCTTAATTCTAAGTGTAATGATGTAATATTTTTTTTAAATTACGATAATTATAAATTGACTCGTTACCTATTATTTAAGTTAGTAACGATCCAATCAAATTTAGACCGAATACGAGAACAATAATTAATTATTTACGTGAGTGTAATACTTTTTTAGTGTAATATTTATGTATATAATAAATTTTTCCTAAAAATAGAGAACGATAATTAGCTGGAGAGAAATAATCAAGCCACAACAATGATAAAAAAATATGAAATAGAATGAGTATCTTTCATTTAAAATGAAACAGAAAGGACAAAAAAAAAAGTGAAAACTAGCAGTACTCTTAATTACAGCATGACCGTGAACAGTTAGAAAAGAGAGTAGCAGAGAGGGGAAGTTGCAGGGAGGGGGAGGGTGATGATGATAACTGCTATAGAACAACGGATTTTCTCTATTTCTCTGTTCTGGCATGGACCATGATCATTCCAAAATGCTGAGTCTCACATTTCACCAAGTCCTCTCACTGTGTCTCCTCTTCTTCTATATTCACCCCTATAATATAATACTGCAATAATCATCATATCATCGTCTTCTCTTTGTCATCATTTGGCAGGCCTATTCATTTTAACAGCTTTGGTTATAGAAATTACATATTTTGAAGATTTTGAAGAGAGGATTCAAGCTTTCCTTCATGCCTATTTACACATTCTTCCAAGGTGATAGAAAATAAAAATAAATAAATAAAATGGTGAATACAAAATTAATATATAAGTGATTCTGATTGATTTAAAATAAATAAAAATATACGATAAATTTTTTAAATGTAATGATCTTGTAAAAAATAAACAGATAGACAAAACCGTATAAAACAGAAATACATTAGTAAAATTTTAAAGACAAAAAATAATGAGTATTTAAAAGAAAGAGGAGTATTTTAGACAACATATTATAAAACTTTTTTTCTTCTTTTCATTAATCTTACCGAATTTGTAAACATATATAGACATTTCAATCAATAGAAATAAATCAGCTCGTATCCTCTCATTTCTTTCATTTTTAATAGTAAATTAATAGAATAAACACACAGTAAAAGTTTAACATTAAATATGGTAATAGAGTAGATATTATTTATTAAAATATTGTTCATTAAATACAAATTTATCATTAGAAAATTGATAAGCATATCTTTCTAAACCATTAAGTATTTATTTTTCGTTAATTTTAAAACAACTCACACTGTTATTATACAATACAAAATAACACTGTATAATATTACATTCTATTATTACTTAAGACCGTGTTTTTTGGGTTTCAAGACAAGATTTTTGTTTTAACAATTATGCAGACAACTTTCGAAAGCTCAAAGTCACAGTAAACCATGCGAAAGCCGTCACCGTGAGACGATGAGGCCATGAAGTTGCTGTTTCTAACCAGCTTCTCCTTTCTTAAGACCGCTGCACCATTTAGAATATATTTAAATAAAAATAAATATTTATTTTTAGATTATCTAAATAAAAAATTATTATTTTTTATTTATAATATTATATGATATTAATCATATACTTATAAACTAACATATATATATATATATATATATATATATATATATATATAAAGTTCTAAATACGTATGCTAATATTATAATATGTGACACTTTAGAAAATCTTTTTAAGATTGTAAATTAAACATTATCAATCTATCTTAAAAAAATATAAGGAATTTAATAAAATAATTTAAAACTTTAAAGGGATAAAAAAATTACAAAAACTAAAACCAGAATTTATATATTTTATAAGAATGAAAATATAAAAAAAATGTATAAATATCAAGCTAATTCTACATATTAAAAACATAATATTAAAAAAAATGAATATAATTCTCTTTGTCGAACTCTTTAATTATGTAATAAATTATTAAACCGCTAATGGAAGGTCACACAAATTAATGTTATTACTTGACATTAAATATTAAAATGGTTATTACAGAAAAAAAATTAAGAACAACAAATAATGTTAACAAATTGTTGAATAACTAAAACTGAAAGTTTGAGGACAAAAGCGTAATATTATTTTTAATCTATTTTTGTTATTTTTTTATTGACTACGTTGACTTAATCATCTATCATGAATTTTCCTTTTTTATTCTTTTCATATATATTGAATAGATTGTTTTTTAGTTCTTCCTGTGTTCGAAACACTTGAACTTAACGACTTTTAGGTTGACACACTTTAGCTTGTATTTATGTGGTTGAAGTGGTTGAAACTTTGGTCCAACATCTATCTATTTAATTGCATTATCAATTAATAATTGAGTCAGCACGTAATAAGGAGCCACGGAAATGGTTGACAATACTTAGAAAAAAGTTTGATATAATACAGTAATTTTTAATATACATATATATATATATATATATATATATATACTTTATTATTGACTACATGTATTAATTAAAACTCATAAATAGTCTTACTAATTTATAAACTAGTAATAAAATGCATTAAAAGTATGTTAATATATGTATCATTAAATTATTTACTTCGAAAAATGTAGGATGAAAAATACAGTTAAATTACATACCATAGCAGTTAAGAAATACGAAATATCATTATTAATACACTTGCATATTTTTAATAAAAAAACTATTAAATTTTTAAATTAACACCTTAAAATATCCATTAACAACATAAGTAAATGATATTAATTTAGTGATTTCAAATAATAACATTAGTTTTGTCTATTTACATAGAGTGACATAATTTGATTTATAAAGACTTTAATACTAATACTAATTTAATTTTAATCATGAAAACTATCAAAATAATAACATTTTAAAAAAAAATATATATGACACTGTTTTTTTAGGATTAACAAAATGAAATTAATTTAGTCTTTTATCATATAAAAATATTATTACTAATATTTTATATCATATCATATTATTAACTTTTTCTATTCATTGGTCGAAGTATTACCAGTTTTGTTATAATGATCAATTTCTAAAATTTAAAAAAATTAAATTTCCAAGTTAAAATATTGCGAAATAATTAATAATTTAAGAATAAAAAAAATACAAAGTGTTAAAAGATAATAATATAAGTATGTATAAAACATATAATAAAATATTTTCATATTTAAGATTCAAAGTTATAATCATTTTTTTATGAAACTCTGATTGTGACGGGTAGAACAACAATAATTATAAATTAAAAATATCACTATTTTGATTATTAGGAACATGCTAATTTTTATTTTCTTCTTAATTTCAAGGTTTTCTCGATCTTACTCTTTTCCTTTTTTATTTATTTTCTAATGTTTTCCTCTTGCTTTTTTGTAGGTTTAATGGTGAGTTTCGACAAGTGTTTGAAGTGTAACGGGAAAAAATGGTGAATTTCGGTGGCAATAGGATTGGAGAGGAGAGGATGGAAATAAGGAAATAGTGTACTGCAGAAATTACCTCCAACGGTGGCATAGAAAAGTATGGTGGTGAAGAAGAAAAGAAAAGGAAAGAAAAAAGAGTCGCATTAAAGAGAGAAGATGGAAGTAATAAAAAGGAGATGACAATAGAAAGAAGAAGCAACAAAGATGTCATGTCGATTCTAGAAATATAAATGCTCCTTTCACGTCATAGTTATAAGTGTAACAAACAATCAATACGTGTAAGAAAGAGTATGCTAATGTTATAAAGTTAACCTTATCATACTTTTTTTAACTCATCACTTCTTTATTTTTACGTTTGAAGGATTTTTTGATGTAAAGAAATGTAATATTTTTTTTATTTTAATAAGTCAATTTTTTATTGTAAAATTTTTACATCACCATTTTAATAAATACCTGCCAGACGTGTGGATAAATTTAAATGAATTGAGATTAAATAAAAAAATCAGAATATAATTAAAAAACTACTTATCTTTTTTAAAATATGTTATATTTAAGATTGCATTACACATATTAATATAAATATTATTTTTTGTTATTTTTAATAAATTTGTTAATAATTTTTTTATTAATATCTATATCATCTAAATATTTTTTTCCATCCAAAATGATTCTTAATAATTTATTATTTTTTTCTACAATAAATATAATTAAAAAAATAAATATATAATTGATAAAAAGACAATTAATTTATTTTTAAATTAAAAAAAAAACTTTTTTTCTCAATAAAAAATTGTATACTTCAAAATAAATGAAGTAATTAATATTATTTTAAAATTTAAAAATAGCTTTAAATAGAGCATAAATATTTAAAAGAGTTATAGAAAGTACATATAAATATTATCAGAGTATAAATAAAATATAATTCCTATTATTTAATTTAAAAATTAAAATGGAACTTATTTTATTTTTTTAATATATAATCATTTTTTATATTACTTGTTAAAGATCTTATCTACGAATTTTTGTCTGTTATAATTTTATTTTTAAAAATAATTTTTTTATTTTATTTTTCAAAATTATCTTTTACTAACTAAGAAAAAAAGAAGTATATACATATCTTCTTAACTTCAACTCTTAAATATACGATGAACTATGATTGAATCCACTTTACTTTTCACATATTTTGATTTATATATTTCTTCTCACTTTCTCATTTTCATTTACTTTATATTTTCACTTATTTTGTTAAAGCATTCAATCACATCACAAGGTGTGAAGAGGAAGATAAAATGTGATAGAAACAGAAAAAGAGGAACATTGATTTATATACAATTGTTTTTCCTCATAAACCAACAAGGTATATGTACACAAAGTCAAAATTGAAGGCAGTCATTTGGACCACCAAGAGGAAGAGAGTGTCACAGTGACTCACTAGGTAGCGCCATTATTTGCAACCTCACAAATGCTAACATGCAACAACACATTTTTTTAATCCACTCATTTTAGCAAAATATAAGAAATTATAAATTATAAATAAAGACTCAACTCATTATCTTAAAGTTTTAGTAAAATTTGGATATTATTATACATTATTAATATAGTACGTTAGAATGTGTTAGTTGTATTTCGTAGCTCATTTAAGAAAAAATCGTACAACCATTTCTTTGTTCACAAATATGTTTCTTCGATATGATGTTTTCGCAAAGAGTTAAATTTCGAAGTGTTAAATCGGTATTAAAAATAATGAGACATTTAATTCAAATTTATAAAATTAGTTTAATAAGATGATAATTATATTTATTTATATATTATATTATTATTATATTTTTAATCGATTAGGGTTTGTTAACGTTAAGATAATTTTTTTTATCAGTGAATACATATATCACATTTTATAATATCGACCATTTTATGATTTTTTTCTGTAATGAATTTTTTTAGTAACTTCTACCGTTATCTAAAACTCATGTACTCTCTTCTATCCTAAGAGATGTGTGAATGAATTGATGTTAGATTATCTCACAATTTGAATTTTTGGTTTTTGAATATGTAACTGTTCAATACTCTTGTCTAAAGAATTTTATGATACACAATAATTTTATTCACTTTCAACATAATTGCCTCTAATAAAAGATTATATGAAAACTAATTTAGAAATATGACATGCAAAATAATCCAAATAAATACTAGACAAAAAAATATAAGTTACTATGATTTGACTCAATAATTTAAGGTCTTTTACTTTTAAAATATTTAACCCTATTTTTTTTAGTGCAGAGTTGTTTATTTATTTCAAATACAACTTTTCAAATTTAATTTCCATTTTATCTTTTAATCTTATAATACTTTTTTGTTATTGATTCTAAATAAACTAAAATTCGCGAATATTATAATCATAATTAATCCTAATCTGTTATACCATATTTATAAAAATGACGTGTACATCTTGATTTGATAAACTCTTTTTTCATGATTTCTTTCTTAATTTTATTTTGTAGACTTTAATAATTTCTATTTAAAATAATAATAATAATAATAATAATAATAATAATAATAATAATAATAATATAAAAACTAATATATTCATGATTAATGTAATATACGGAAAGCTCACACCTTAACTTGTTTTCTAGCATGCAAAGACAATTCAATTGTGTGATTGAAAAATGTGAAGATGCTCGACTAAAAATGAAGCTAAAATAATCATTATAAAGATCGTTTCTTGAAATTAGCCTCCGGAAGTTAGATTGAATCTAGTAGAACTAACTTAATCTTGAAATTTAAACTAATTAGTCCATTTCTCATGAATGATGACCTTAACAATATATGATTATAAATTTTCCAGACATCCTACGTTGGGCTTAAGTACTAAGGTTTTTTCTATTTTTTATGATAAAACCAACTTGTTGAATATCATATAGTATCAACTATCATAAAAACTCAAGTTACAGAGGGGAAAACACGAATAATTTCATATCAGTCTCTAACATTTGTGAAGCTGTACATTTTCCCTTGTCGTGGTATTTAGTACCTCTTGCAACCCAATTGCAAAAATGGTCCTCTGAAAGATAATAAGATTATCATTATATATAATTGCTTTTAGTGTAGATGCATTATTAAATAATCGGATCTAATCATGCGTACGATCATGTGGGGAAACTATAATATTCCTGTAATAATATTGATTTAGAGATCCCAACACTAAAAAGGAAAGATAATACGCATCAAGTACAAATAATAGGAGTATATATACTATATAATTAAATTAATCTCACTCTATCCTCTTATACTTTCAACAATATAGAAAAACAAAAAATTAAAGCAAAAAAACATAAGAAAAGAAAAAAATGATAGCTGCAAATGCTAACCACCAACACTACGCCACTAGGATCAACATCATCATGATGACGCTCTTAATTCATTGCAGTGTATGAAATTCCACGCTGCAATGATTCACCGGTTGAGTATACTGTTTACTCTCTCACACGCGAGATCCTATTGATCAGAGGAACAAACCCACGCCTCCACGACACCTTCCCTAGGGGAGTTACCTTTCTCCAAGTTCTTCTCATGGTTCATGCTGCTCGACGCAGAAACCGAGATGTTGAGTTTGCAGCCACCATAGTTATTCCCATCCAGGCACCTAAACGAGTCTCTTCTCCCTCCTCCAATGCTGCCTCCATCTCTACAATCACCGTCACTGCCACTCCTCAGAAGCATGCCCTCAGATACCACGTGTTCATGACCCTGTGCACCCACCAGATCATGCCCATCAAGCGTGGGCATGAATAAAGACTTTGCACCAAACCCTGCAGGGACAAGAGGTTGAAGAGAATAAGAGGGGTTGAATGTCGGAATAAGGTGATGTTGCATGATATTCTGTGGAGGCTGATAGGGTAATGATAGATCAGGAAGTTGTTGGTAGTTAATGGAGTTATTATTAGGAGAAAGATTGATGGTGTTGTTGTTGTGTAACGAGGTCCTTGAAGAAGTTGAAAGCAAAGGGTTTGGGCGCAGAGGGAGGCGGCGAGAGAAGGAAGGTGAAAAAGGAGGTGCAGGGATTCCAGTGAACTCTTGAACCATGGATCTGAAATTGGTTGTGTCGGTGGTGAGAACGGTGGTGGGTGCACGCCTTGAAGCTCGGCTTCGTTTCTTGGAATTGCGTACGAGGTTGGTGGTCTGTGGTGGTGATGAGAGTTGTCTTGCACTAATGTTGTCGTGGCCAAGGGGTTGAGGACCCGACAAGCATTGGTTTGTTGTTGCTGTGGCTGCTGAAGATGATGTTAGGCCTTCAGGGAGAGTGCAATTGGGTTCAGATCTTTGGCCATGGTAGTCCAAGTTTAACAAGGAATCGTGGGGGGTTTGGTTTGGGTGGGATTGTGAGAGAGCATTCAGGTAGCTTGAGGAGATATCAAACATGGAGGGATGAGAAGGAACAAGGGATGGTTGTGGGTGGGAGATGGAACCGAAATGATTGAGAAAGGATGGATCAGCGTGTGATGAATCGTATTCTTCATCGCTAGAAGAGATGCTTCCACTGTTACCAGAATCCATTGCTTGAGCCAGAAAGGAAACACTAGAGAAGAAATAATTTGAAATAGTAAGAAAAGTGTGGAACTTGAGCACTGAAATACGTGTATGGTGATATCCAATTGGGAAAGCGGGATTCTGGAAAAAGGAAAAAGGAAAGTATGCATATAGATCTTAATAATGATGCATTAGGTGGGGAGTGTGATGAGAGTTGGAGAAGAAGAAGCGTAAATTACGAGGAGGAGTGGATTAGGGTTTGAGGGAAGGAAAAGAAGGAAATGAAAGGAGAGGAAAGGTTTTTTAAGCTTTTTGTGCTGAGAAAAAGAGGGGTTTAGAAGATGAAGATGGTGGACGAAGAGAATGAAGGGGTGGGGTCGCCATTGGAGTAGAGATAAAAGAGATGCCGGTGGCTGGCCACAGGTCAAAGTCGATGTGAATGTGAGAGGGACAGTGAGAGAAAGAGGGGTGTAAAAAAGCCAAAAAGATGTGGACAAGTGGTGTGAAATATATATGGAACTATGCACACTTTTACTTAACAACATACTCTATCTCTCATTAATCTTCTCTTATGACGTGGAACTACATATAAAAATAAGTCACATTTATACAATATCTTCAAAAAAGACGAAATGCATTTGAAATACATTATTCTTATTACTTCATATAAGTTATTTAATATCGATCATCTTTAAAATGTATTTTGATGATTAAAGAAAAATATATTTATAAACTTTTTTTATGCCTAAATAATGTGATTTTTTTTTGTATATATACTACTAAAATAGTAGCCTAGTTGAGATTAAGGGATTAGAGATGAAAGGATTTGGTACCCCTCTTCAAGTCTATGACTTTTTTCCTACATTAATATTTTTATTACAAATTTGTGTGTGGTTAGACTCGTCACATCGAAAATATTGGCTCTTTTGATTTGTGCCTGTATCATTATATATCTTAATAGTTAAGAAAAAAAATTGTATATTATGTTTGACCTTTTCTTAAATAATATAAAACGTTTTATGTATATTTATAATTATTATTATTATATATAAATAAAATAAAATATACTAATACATTTTTTATTTGGTTAAAATGTATGAAATTTTAAAGTTACCTATGAGATATAATAACACAATTATGCGCTTTTGAATAAATTTTAGTGAAAGTCAATAATGTATTTGAAAAGTATGTTAAAAGAAGAATGTATTCTTAACATTCTGTATAAAATATAGTTGTTTTTAATACAGTCTTAATCAACTAATTACAAACTATTTCATAGTTCTAAAGTAGTTATTAGAAATAAATAAAAAATCCCTATGCAACAATTCATATTTTTTTAGAGCATGCAACAATTGATGCATAATTGAATGATAATGTAAATTTTAATTAAATCCAACAAATATATATATATATATATATATATATATATATATATATATATATTTAAGACTTCATTAATCGAGGAGCATTAATCATTTAAGAAAGAGATACAGGAAAAAAAATTGTGATATATAAGAGAAAGATTTATATATATATATAAAATGAATGTAGGAGAATAAATTATTATTATTATAAGAATAGAGAAGGAGCAAAAAGTAGTGAAAGAGAAAGTTGAACCGAAGAAAGTAATGTTAGATAGCAAGCTGTGTAGGGGTAACCTTATAAAAAATTATCCAAGAATGGGTGAATGACTTTAGCATAAAATAAGAGGGGATGATTGAATTAGTATATCAAATTTATTATTATTTATTAAATATTGGAGTATTCCTTAGAGTGATTAAATAATTTAATCGTTATGTCTCAACATTGTAGTTGATAGTTGATATGACTTCAGGAAGAATTGTCCGCTCAAGTAATATCTTTAATTATCATTTGTGGTGCTTAAATTGTGTTTATTGAATTATGTTTTATTATTATTGTGGGTGTTAAATCCGATGGTTAAAGTTTTCTTAACTAATAATTTTATTTTGCATGATAATCATAATTTTGAAATTGGTTATCAAATGTTAATAAAAGTTATTTACCATTGCATGAACACAATAAATAAAACATAGTTCGTATATGAATGAATAACTTTGATTAACTATTTAATAAGTAAAAAAATGTTGAGTAAGATGAAAAATAAAGTAGTACCACCCTACGCCAAAGTCAAGATTATCAATAATGAGGACAACTCATGGTTTTCAATAATTGGTCCACAAGATTACCAGTAAAACCCCAGCCATGTTTCGTACTACTTTTGCCTCACTTGTCACTATTACCTCTCTTCCTCCCTTTGATTCATATTTACATCACAATAGTATATCATATTTATATTCATCATGAATGCTTCAAACTATAAGTTGAATTTGCAACATTTTATTTTATATGTATAAGAGTTCAAGAAAACTTTATTGCATAAGTTAATCTTTATTTTCATTTTTTAAAATTAAATACTTTCAAAGAGTAATTTGTTTTTAATTCTTTAATTAAAAATAAATAATGAAATGAAAATAATTATTTGAATTGTTGAGCAGAAAATATAAAATAAGGCATTGGCCATTCTTCATTGTAATTTTTCTAATATTTTGCACAATGCAAACATCTCCCACAAAACAATAAGGCTTTGAGAAGGAGCTTTGCTTCAAGAATTTCGTGGGTTTTAATTGATATCTTGGTTAGCCCATAATTCAAACTTTCTTTATTACTTTCAGGGCTTCAAGCCCACGGTTATGTTGTAATGGAAGACATCACTCTTTCTATTTTGGGCTTCTAACAACAAACATTTGTCATAAAAGATCTCAATATTGTACGTGCTATTGCCAAGACAAAGAGCATACTTGTTTTTTTATTTTATTGTTGTTATTCGGCTTAAATCTACTTCTGATTTTCAAAATTTATTTAATGTAAAATTTTGATCCAATAAAAATGTAATGGTAAATTTCAACCTCTAAATTTTTTAAATTATTATTAGTTTTTGGTTCAATATAATATATCATCTATTTACTAACACAAAAAAATACTAACATATTTTTCATGATAATAATAAAACTTAAAACTAAAAATTATTTTTAATATTTTACGTAAATAACTAATTAACATTGTTATCATTAACCAAATATACAACTAAAATATAACATGTTACAATTAATAAATAAATAAATTCAATTATGTGATTTGATAATGACAATATTTTGTATTTGAACTGGTGACTCACTTTTTAATAAGAATGAGAAAGAGAAGTTTTATTGGTAACATAGTGACAACTTCTTGAAATATGAGGTTTTTTCAAAGATTTGTAATTTACATTAGTATTTATGATTTTGCACCTCCAAACTTAATGAGTATTAAATACATCTCGTTTATGTATTTACAAATTTGACCTTTTACTCTTTCATATTTTCATATTTATTTATTATTTATTAATAATATATTATTTGATCATCTTTTTAGATCAATGATCAAGATCCATCATTGGTGAATAGTATAGAGAATTATCCAACTTAGTGGTTAACATGAGGAATTATCTATCTTAGTAGATAATATAAAGAGTTATCCAATTTGGTGAATAATATGAAGAGTTATCCAATTTAGTAAATAGTATTAAGAGTTATTCAATTTAGTGAATAGTATTAAGAGTTATCTTTTGAAATTGATGATAATTAATTTGAAAATTGGTTATATAAAGCTAGTCATATGGTTGTGATTTGTCGAAACAGAGACTTGTTGTGTGCTTTGCTCTATTTGTCAGCGGAGAGCTCTAATCTTACGGAGAGTCCGTTCAATTTCAGGGTCAAAGATGTCCTCAAATTTAACACTCCTTCGCATAAAAGAAACCTGCAAAATCAACAGAAACACAAGAATCAAAGTGTAATTATGCAAAAAAATATTAAAATTAAACCAGAAAAATAATGCAGAAAATTTAAAAGGTCTAATCTAACTAAATCACCGCTTAGCCAATATTGGGGAAAAACATAATCCTCGGCAACGGCGCCAAAAACTTGATAGCCGTTCCGCAAGCGTACGGGATATCGCGTAATAAAAAGTTATCGTTCTCACAAAGATTATGCCCAAGTACCAGTACACAGTGATTCAATTATCCAAACAAATCATTTCAAATAGAATATATTGCAAAATGAATAGAAAACCAAAAACTATTGACAAGAGACTCAAAGTGAAAACTTTCTTAGGAGTCGGTAGGTTCATATGTTACGTACTCAATTTAAAGCAATTCATTTCCCATTATTTAACTTCTATTTCTAAGGTGGATTTTTCTTAATTGATTAATGTATTCCTCTCAAAACCCCACTAACGTACCTAATTACTGAAGAACAACGTTCAATTCGTTAAGTAGATCCTTTACACTGTATGAAAATCTAATTACCTCTTAAAGAGTTTTGTCTACTTTCGTAACCCAAATCCCTAGGTTCAATTTCATGCTTTTCTAATGATATATCGATCTCTCAATCATCCACATCATTTAAATTCATCTAACCTTATCTCTAAGCCATTAGAAGCTTTACGTTCTCATGGAGATGAATAAAAAACAGAAATCCAATAATAGAGAAATTCAAAGTATTCAAATTTGATACATAAACATATTCCCCCTAATCCCAAGAATGAGATTTAGTGTGCCATAGAAATGATGATTACAATCCACAATACAATAAATCAAACCCTAACATAAGAGAAAAGCAGAAATGAGACAGGAAGTTAGAGAATAGAAGAGAAGTTCTCACTATCTCCTGCGTTGCTTCTTCAATTTCCCTCTTGATAGAAGAAATCGTTCTCCCTCTCTTGATGTGGTCTTCTTCAATTTTCTTTTTGGGAAAAACGCCTCCTTGGTTCGTGCTTCGTAGCTTTTTTTATATCTTTTATGCTCAGAAACCGCTCCTCTAATTCAGGGAAAATGCAAAACGTGCAGAATCCACTGGCAGTGGGAAAAATCCACGGCCAGTGGATCGTGACAGGGGCTTAATGCTCATTTTCCAGTGAGGTCCACGACCAGTGGGAAAAATCCACGACCAGTGGATCGTGACAAGGGTCCA